CCTCAGCCACCACGTAAGAAGTCAGACCCCACCCTGGGGAGGCTCTAAGTCTACATGGAGAGAAAGAGGGGCTCAGCTGAGTCCGGCCCCCCAGCCATCCTCACCAAGGTGCCAGGAATGTGACTAAGCTGTCTTAGACTCCTCAGACCAGCCTGGCCGCCAGGGAAATGCCACTGAGTGACCCCACTCAATGTCACGGGGAGCAGAAGAATCACCCAGGCAAACCCTTCCTGGATTCCCGCCCCACACATTTATAAGATACAATGCGCCTCAATTTGGGGGCAGTGTGTTACACAGCGGCGGCTAAGAGGTACGATATAAAAGCCCACAGCTTGAGCAACGGCACCTCAGGAAACCATGAAACCCTAAAGGGGCGAATGCCTGTCTAACTTCCTTCTTTTATGAGAGTCACCCCAACCCCCACCCCGCCTCCCAAAGTGCCGTCTTGAATCTTTCTCCTTCCCGAGTCTTAGCTGTTGGGATCAGTGGGGCACATGGGACCCAAGCTGAGCCAAATTCCCTCCCTGCCAGCCCCCTGCCTCCAGCCACAGCGGTGGGCATTCTCTCCCCTGGACTTGCAGAGCTGGGCGTCAGAGGTGGCCGATCAGTCTGTGTCTGGGGCTAGAAGTCACTGAGATGTACCCCTGAGGAGCAGCGGGGGGCACCTGTTTTTCCCCGTGTGCCGAGAAGTGTGGAGAGGTAGGTCAGCTCGGGGAACAGGATGCAGGAGTGTAGAGGGGCAGGGGTGAGGGGCTGCGGGGGACAAAGGGAGGGAGAGAGGGGGTTATCTGGCTTGGTTTCTGGACACTTTCTGGGTCTGGATGCACACATCTCCTCTGGGGCCTATGTGTACTCTTGCATCCTTACAATTCTTGCTGAAGTGGCTGTGAATGGATTTCTGGGCTTTTTTTTTTTTATTTTTTGGCAACTGACAAGAAGGGCCTTGGTGATGCCTGAGGTAGGAAACGGAAGGGAAAGCGGGCCGGGCCGGTGAGGTGACAGGAATGTCCTTCTGTAGACCTTCCGCCTGCTGGGGGAGGGGGCCTGGGAGTGATTCACGCCCAGTCTAGTCTCCTGTAGGCCCCGCACACTCAGAATGCCTCACCCCGAGCTGCCTCTCTTCCGGAATGAATTCAAATCGCACCTTCCTTACTCTCAGCAAGGGAAACCGTCCACTGTCTAGTGAAAACAGTGAGGGACTGTCTTCCTTCCGGACCTCCCCAGTCCAACCGGCCACCAAATCCCGCTCTAGTTGGCTCTCCTGTCCTCCACCCGTGGCCACCGCCCTAGCCCCCGTACTGTCCCCAGATCTCTCTCCCGAGACAGCTCTGGCCATGCCACTGCTCTGTCCACAGACCCACCCCTCCCCCCTTTCCCCTTTCCCCCGGGTGCTGGGCGCTTTCAGAGAGTCGGGGCCGGCCATCTTACTGCGGGCCACTGCTTGCCCGTGACACCCCTCGCACGCGGCTCCCAGTCTCACCTCCTCTTCCTTCTTAGGGAACATCCGCCTGCCCTTCCCCGCCTGGAGAACTCAAACCACATCCAAGGTCAGGCTTGGATGACACCTCCTTTGCGAAATGTCCTCTGACTTCTCTCGGGTGCTTCCGTGCGTTCAGCTCGGTGCTAAGCATTTTGCCTGCATCCTCCCTATACCTCAAGTTAGAGGTCGCGGTCTCCGTTTTACCGAGGGAACGGGGGGTCACAGAGGGTGACCGTCCCCGGCCACACAGCTGGCAAACGTGAGAGCCAGGTTTCAACGGTACCTTCTTCTCAGTTTCCAGAGAAGTTTGCACACGCTTATCACCCCCTATTCCATTTATAGGTCTGTGCGCTAGATGGCGAAGCATTCAGGGGCAGGGAGGAGTCCCAGTTATCGTCGTATCCAGGTGCCTACCCAGCGTTTGGTTCCAAGCAAACGTTCAATAAATTGAGCTGAAATGAAATACTGCTCTCGGAGGATGAGCAAAGTGGCTTTCCGCTTTGGTGTCATTTAACTGCTTCCTTAAAGGTGTTGTTAGACCCTGCGCTTCCCCCTCGTTAGTGATGGCAAGACCTCGTCTGGGGTAACGCCACCGCTTGACTGCCACCACTCTGCCCCCTCGCCCAGTCCGTGGTAGAGGGTGGGGTCCGCCTCCTCGGGTCCTGGCCCTCTGGATCACACAGCAGCTGGGTGACATCAGGGTCCTGACTACCCACGGCAGCTATCTCCTGCAACCTCATTCTTTAAACAAACACAGCAGAAGCAAAGCTAGGCAGATGGCAGGTGGAAGAACGCACGAGTGTGTACACAGAGTTGGGACACAGCCCTGAATGGCAGGGCCAAGGGGGGTGGCCAGAAGGAGGGCATTCCCTCATGAGCAGGTATGGGGCATGGCCACCACACTGCCCACTCTCTGTCCCTGTCTGGTCTCACGTACCCAGCCTTGGAGGACTTCCTGCCATCTGAGGAGCCCAAAGGCAGAAGGAAGGAGAACACACACACACACACACACACACACACACACACACACACCCCAACCAAAGCTCTTGCTGTCTTTTCAGATCAAACACCGAGCTGGCTTTGTTCTCTGCCTGCAGACCTGAGGCCGTCCCGGCCGGAAGGAGTCGGAGGACACAAGGGGGCGTTGAGAACCTATCTGGCCACGCAGATTAAACAAACGACAAATTGGCAGATTATTTTTTGTTTCTTTTTGAACAGGTAATATCCACTCCTGGCAAATATATAGGGAAATGGACACTTTTGATATAGTGCTTGTGGGAGGGGGAATGGGTATAACCTTTCTAGAGGTGATTTGCAGGATGTAATAAAAGGCTTAAAGTATGCATTTCCTCTGACTCAGTAATTCCATTTCTAGGGTTTCATCTTAAGTACATAATGAAGGATTTGTGCAAATATTTGGCTCTAAGGATATTCACTGTGGCACCGTTTAAAGGGGGTGTGAATCCAGGAGCCACCTGGCTCCCAGCATGGGGGGACAGGATGGGTGCGTGCAGACATGGGGCCGCCTGGAGGTGGGTTTTTAACAACATGGAAAGATGTTTGCAGTATTGTGTTCGGGGTGGGGCGGGGGAGGCTGAAAAGAGTACACGGAATGTCTGAGAAGCAAGGGAACATAAGAGAAACTTCTCTTCAAGGAATGTGTTCCATGTAGTTTTCTTTAAACCTCCAGAACTTTTTCAGGTGACGTAGCCCTCCACTTACAGCAATCAGCCCAATTGTCAGTCTGAAGAATGTGTAGTGAAAACACGGTGTTTCCTGTGTCTCGACTTCTTGGATACAAGTATGTGTATTATGCTTTTATTTCAGATGAATAATTGGACCCACTGCTTTAACGTTAGAGGCACTGTACCTCTAAACATGTCGTGTGTATTACTGGGAAGTTCAACATCCTTCTCAAAAATAAATAGGTGCTATGAGAATGCTTGGTCTACATCTCTACAGAGAAGAAGGTCAAGAAGAGACAATACTGTTCATCGTGGTTATTCTGAGATGCGGACTCCTGAGTGTTTTTGTACTTTTTTTTCTTTTAGAGACTTAAAATTTTTTTAAGTCTTTACTTATTTATTTGTTTGTTTATTTAGAGAGACAGAGACAGAGACAGAGCAAGCAGAGGAGGGGCAAAGAGAGAGGCAGAGAGAGAGAATCCCAAGCAGGCTCCACGCTGCCAACATGGAACCTGATGTGGGGCTCGAACCCACGAACCGTGAGATCACGACCTGAGCTGAAATCAGGAGTTGGACACTTAACCGATGGAGCCACCCAGACGCCCCTATACCTTTTTTTTTTTTAATGTTTATTTATTCCTGCCAGAGAGAGAGAGAGAGACAGAGCACGAGTGGGGGAGGAGCAGAGAGAGAGGGAGACAGAATCCGAAGCAGGCTCCAGGCTCTAAGCTGCCAGCACAGAGCCAGACGCGGGGCTTGAACCCACAAGCCGGGAGATCATGACCTGAGCCAAAGTCAGACGCTCAACCGACTGAGCCACCCAGGCGCCCCATATATCTTTTTTTTTCTTATTGACAGGTTACAATGTCTGATCGATGAATACAAATTATTTTGTGACCCCCAAGAAAGTAATGATTTGAATTTAAAGCATCCGTCCATAATGATATAAGAGGCTGCTTCCCACCTGCATCTGAAACCCGGAACACTAGCAAAGCAGGGCTTTGGTGGCAACAAGTCCCAGCTCTGCCCCCTGGTGCTATTCTGGGACCTGGAGACGTAAGGACCAACTGGGGATCCACTCACCTGGGACATGAGCGCTCAGAAGGAGGGGCACACCTTGGCTAGATAATGACTCTGAGGTTGCTACTGACGAGCACAGAGGCTCTGAAGGGAAGGGACTCCAGACCTCTGAGAGTGTGAGGCAAAGAAACCAGCTCAGACTTGGGGTGTGGACACCCCTTTCCCCTTGAGAAAGTGACAAGAGGCAAAAAGGAGGGGCCGGTGTTCCCCGGTGAAGGACGCAGGGCAAGTGTATCCCCGGGCTCACCTACAAGTGAACCACCCGGGGTTGGGAGAACGGACCACGCAGCTCCCCAGGCAGAACTCTGGACTATATCTCATCTTAGTTGCCCGAGTCCTCGGGGCAAAAGTCCTTTTCCTGTTCCACATGGGAAGAAAACAAAGAGTCGCTCGGCTTTTGCTTTGCTCGTGTTTTCTCCGAGCAAACGGTGAACCACCCCAGGCCCTGCTGTTCCTCCCAGGCTTCTGTCGTGGAGTTGGGCTCCCACCTTTCTGTTGGGACCAGTGAGAAGGTAAGAACAGGGCGGGGCTGAGACGTCTGCTCTCGCTCTAAAGGTCCAGGCCTCGGCTGTAATGGCCTCAAGCGGAGCCAAGAGTCCATTCGGACCTGAGGGGGACGCTGACCTTGCTTCACTGTACCTGCACCGTGAAGGAAGTTCTAAAAGGAAGCTCCTTTCAAGAGGATCCTCGCGAGGCAGGAGGGCTGGGCATCCATGGGTGGGGGCTCCACAGGGCCCTGCAATCGCCAGACTCACCTTCCAGAGCAGAACAGCCAGGAGCAGGAAGATGAGTATTCCCACCAGCAGACTTATGGCAATGATCCAGCCCACGACATAGCCACGGGGCTCCAGATTGTGCAAGGCTTCGAAGACCACCTAGGAGGCAGAGCAGAAGGGGGAATGATTTTCAAATGGAAGTGCCCATAGCGTGACAGAGCCCGGCCTGGGCCTGACGTTCGGAGCGAACTACAGAGGAGTCCAGACTGTTGTTACTGAAGACTGGACTCTGTTCAGTTCTCTCCTGGTTGTAGACCGATGGATTTTTCACCATCAGGGGGTGAAAAATCCACGCCCCAGGTCTTGAGAGGGTTGTAACGACAACAAGCCTGACTTCAATATCATGAAGTGAACCTAAGTGTGGTGAAAGTCTCAGAAGACGCACTCTTCTGCATTCGGGCAACAGCAGCCTCCCGTGCGCTACGGTTTTGCGACGGAGGACGTGGGCGTGCCGGCTTCTTTCCAAGTGTTCAGCTCAACGTGTCGCTCAGCGCAAGCATTTGACGGATGCCACTTTCCTGACAGACTGTCACTCCCCAAGGGCCGGGACACCATCCGTCTCCGGTCTCATGGCAATGCCTAGCACACTGGAGACCCTCACTCCTGAAGCTCCGGGCTCTGGTTTTCGGTGGGAACCATGTGCAATCCCAGCCCGTGCCTCCGTGAGGCAAGTTTCCCCAAGTTTTATGGGAAGTCAGTGGTGTGCTTGAACTAGCCATCGGCCGGCAAGAGCCAGCTGTGTGCTCCTCTTCCTGGCTGCATCGACGTGTGGGCATTTACACTGCAGAAATTGGGAGACAAGTCAGGGCCCCCCACCCGCCTGCCGGAGAACGGATTGCTTAACATGTATTGGCTCAACACTAATTGGACCCTTTGGCTCTGCTCCAGCCCCACTGGGCACGGTGGGGTTTGGTTTTGTAGAATTCCAAGCATCCATTGTGTCCTTGCCGCATAGTAACTTTGCCCTAACGATCACTGCCCACTCAAGCTCGCTGCAAAAGAGACAAAAGTCCCAGCTCTGGGCAGTCATTGTTTCCCTTGGCTGCCCAGCTGGCCCATCCCCGGGTCTCTGTCCACGCTGGGCCATCCCCTCCTTGGGGAGAGCCTGTCTGAACCTAGCTAGATGCTGGAGGCTGGCTGTGGCTTCCACCTTGCCTGGAAGCTTCACTAATCATGGGAGCCCAGGGATTCCCCACTCAAGCTGCATGGGGTGATGGGGCACAGTACCTTACAGTGACCAGCACTGCTTATGGCCCCTTTTAGGGCCTGGCTCCCAGCTAACTCTTCCCAAATGCTCCTCTGTGTCTTGTAATCTCCTGTCCACGTTATACAACTACCCGATGAGGGATTCAACGCCCATTTTACAGAGGGGGACCATGGAGGCCCAGAGAGGACAAGTCTTTTCTCTGGGCCAAGTAGCTGAAGTACAGAGTCAGGATTTGAACTCAGGTCCAGCCAACCCCAACCCCCCAAATCTGAGCTTGTCAACACTGCACCAGTGAGTGCCTAGATGCCGGTGGCTCTTCTTAAAGACTACCTGTTGGTTAAATAGGTCATTTGTTGACAGTGCCCTGGTGATAAGAAAAGCAAAGGTGTGCATCTCGATCTCATTGCGTCCATTCCCACAGCCCGAGTAGGAGGGGAGGGGTGTGTGCTGGGGGGAGGGGCTGGATGGCCAGTCATGAGGCAGACAAGCTGCCATAGTTGCACCCATAGACGCTGAATCCAGAACCTCATCTCAAAGAAACTCAGGCAGAGCAGAGACCATCCCTTCCCACATGGGGGCAAATGAAAGAAAACTGCCTACACACATAGTCATTCTGGGAACGGAAAGGAGGCCTCTTTGCTGTATTGTGCTCACTGGCTACGTGACCTTGGGTAAGGTACTTAACCTCTATGAGCCCCCTTTCTCTCATCTGCAACATAGGGGTAAAACAGCACCTCTGCAGAGAATTCAAGGGGCTAAGACACACAGAGCCCCAAGCATGGCACCGGGCAGAACCCAGCTCTGACAAACAGAAGGTGATTTCTCCATCACTGCCGGCAGGGAGGTATTTTTGAGGTTGGGCATGGTTGGCTACTTTTCCATTTTTAAAAACTATTTACTGATGTCTAATATACACAGAGAAAAGTAAACACAACCCAAGTGCACAGCTCACTGAATTCTTATCCCACGCATGCTAAATGCACAGGTGCAACCAGTACCCAGAATAAGAAACAGAATGGGACCAGAACCCCCGGAAGTCCCCTTTGCACGCCTTTCCGGCTAACCACCTCCCCATCACGGGTAACCGTGACCCTGACTTCTAAGGGCCTGGATTAGCTGCACCTGCTTCTGTCCTCAGTACACCTGGAATGGCACAGCGTCAACTCTGAAGTCTGCCATCACGCGCCCATCCGTTCAGACTAGAGATTCAGGTCTTTAAAGAAAGATTCACACCCTTGGGTTCTTGCCCCTGAAAGGCTGTGGATTGAGTCACCCCCCACATTCAGAATCTCTCATGGCGTCTTGTACAGATGAGCCTTGAGGCACTATGGCCAACAGGTACGGTCTTAGCCAAGATACCGCCCTCCGTTTCCTCCTCTGTGAAATGGGGGTCTGAGAGGGAAAATCAGATAGCGTTGTGAAAATTCCCAGCGCAGGGTCATGTAACGTAAGTCTGCCGAACCTTCTCGTCGACAGAGAGTTGCTGAGACAGGCTGTGAGCTCAGTGTGGGTCAGCTGTGGTCGAGCCCCTTGGATCACCCCGATGGCTTCTCAGGGACGCTGCCTGCCCTCTGCATCAGAAATCTGCGGCCTGGCAAAGCCATGCTGGAGATCTGGTTTTGTGGATACAGACACAGCTAAGAGTATCCACAGCAGTTTAGTCTAGCAAATTCCACAAGAATGCCCTGTCACTTCGCCGGAATGTGTGTTTAATCCTTTCTTATTTTTAGTGATGCTGTCCGTCTTCTTGGATGCATGTCTCGTGCTTTGGCAGAGCGGGTTCCCGTGCGTCAAGACCCTAATGAGCTCACGTGGGGGAGAAAATCAGAGCGTCCTGCAGCTTTAAGAAGTCACATCTCAGATAAAACCCCAAAGGAAGGCACAGCAGCCGGACTACAGCGGGGAGTCAACAAGCAGTGACCATGAAGCCTCGACTATACCACTAAAGAGCTGGTGATCCTGGTCACGCCCCTGGACCTCTCTACATATCTTTTCTCTGTATTCTCTTGTTCCCATCCCCAGTCACTATTCCAGGTCAGGCCTGGTCTGATCTCATAGCACCCTTTCAGGGGCCCTGGAGAGGCCATCAGGGGTGGTCTTTTTTTTTTTTTTTT